AAAAGCAGAAGTGGTCTCAGCAAACGCATAACTTCACGCTTTTAGGCATCTTGAGGTATCATTGAGCAAAGAAACAATATAATTCATTTTCTGAGCCTCTCTTGAGGTACAAATGTTGAATTTCCCACTTATTCCTTCTTTCACCCTCAGCTACTATTCCTCTTTCCATTCATACCCAAATATTTTACCTTTAAAGGGACATAAAGACTGGGCCACTGTGCTGGTCTAAATTGTAGGCAGCAATACTAGTCTACCAAGAATCTCCTCCTCAGTCCATTCTCATTCACATAGGATAAAGTTACATAGGAGCAGAACTAATGAGCTATTTTTGCCATCAGGAAATATAGCTCATTCACTGTTAAAACTGCAATTTGCCAGATGGGGTGAAGGCACAACTCGCCCTCATCAGGCCCTTAGGAATTCACACATAAGGATTAAAACCAGTTTCTTCCTTACAAATCATCTGTGCTTCCAGAACTTATACTTGGAAAACCTGGTCCTAAGACCACTGTACCAGTGTAGGTTGAAAAACAAAAATCCTGATGTGGGGAAATGGTATAATTACTATAAGAGAATAAGATACTCCTTCCTTGGCAAGAATTGCATAGTTATACAAGCATCGTCCTCCCCACCCCTTCCTAAGATCCACCAGAGGACAGGAGAAAACCTAGTGGTGATATTTTTTTTTAGCTCCAGTCATTTTGAGTGTGAGCATACACTCGAGTATGAGCATACATACACTCAAGTGTATAAGCCAGTTCTTCATGCTTTTATCTCCCTCAGTTTTAGACAACCAACATTTTGACTGCCCACTCTACATCTCTATCAAACTATCACTTGGAGGAGGGTACTTCTCTGTCAATTGTTAAAAATTATGGGCTATCCAGTGTGTTTCTTGGTCTGAAGAAAAGACTGTCTGCCATCCAAACCTGTGCAATACCTTCGGTTTTGATTCTTCTATAACACTCTGAGCAATTACATTTACCACCGGCTAAGCAAAGTTTGTAAGGATGATCTCAAAAATACATTCTCTGATGTTGTGGAAGAATGAACTCTGGTTCAAGACTTTGTCACACTCATTTCATTTGTAAAGCTTCTCTCCAGAATGAATTCTCCAATGAATTGCAACTTGTGACCTTTGACTGAAGACCCTGCTACATTCACTACATGTGTATGATTTCTCCTCAGTATGAATTCTCCAATGACATGTAAATTGTGAATTGTAACTGAAGACTTTGCCACATTCATTACATTTCTAAAGTTTCTCTCCAGTATGAATTCTCTGATGACTTGCGAGATGTGAAATTCGGCTGAATGCCTTGCCACATTCATTACATTTGTGAGTTTTCTCTCCAGTGTGAATTCTCTGATGACTTGCAAGATATGAAATTTGGCTGAATGCCTTGCCACATTCATTACATTTGTGAGTTTTCTCTCCAGTGTGAATTCTCTGATGACTTGCAAGATATGAAATTTGGCTGAATGCCTTGCCACATTCATTACATTTGTGAGTTTTCTCTCCAGTGTGAATTCTCTGATGACTTGCAAGATATGAAATTTGGCTGAATGCCTTGCCACATTCATTACATTTGTGAGTTTTCTCTCCAGTGTGAATTCTCTGATGACTTAAAAGATTTGAACGTTGACTGAACATCTTGCCACACTCATTACACTTGTAACACTTGTCTCCTGTATGAATTCTGCGATGACTTGTAAGGCTCGAACATCGATTGAAGACTTTGCCACATTCATTACATTTATACGGTTTCTCTCCAGTATGAATTCTATGATGAATTGTAAGGCTTGAAGCTCGACTGAAGACCCTGCCACATTCATTACATTTGTAAGGTTTTTCTCCAGTGTGCATATTCTGATGTTTGGCAAGGGTTGAAATGTCACTAAAGGCTTTGCCACATTCATTACATTTGTAAGGTTTCTCCCCAGTATGGATTATCTGATGTCTATAAAGTGTTGATGGTAAACTAAAGGCTTTGCCACACTCATTACACTTGCAAGGTTTCTCTCCAGTATGAATTCTTCGATGTAGTGAAAGGTTTGACTTGCGACTAAAGACCTTGTTGCATTCATCACATTTGTGAGGTTTTCTTCCAGTATGGATTGTCCAATGACGTACGAGGTGTGATTTGCGACTAAAAGCCCTGTCACACTCTTTACATTTGTATGGTTTCTTTATAGTATGAACTCTCTGATGACTTTCAAGGTTGGCTTTTTGACTATAGACCTTGCCACATTTATCACATTTATGTTGTTTCTCTCCAGAATGGATTAACTGATGTCGAGTGAGATGTGAGTCATGACTAAAAGCTTTGCCACACTCATTACATTTGTAAGGTTTTCCCATAATGTGTATTTTCTGTTCACGAATGGGAACTGTTCCATATTTATTAGAAATATGGGTTTTGAGGCTAGAAGGTTTCCTTCGGGGTAGTGAAATTGAGAAATCATTGTTGATAGATTTCTGAACTTGATTACATTCATAGATGTTCTCTTCAGCCTGAAATAGCTGCTGTTCAGTAAGATGTGATTCAAAGTTTAATCCAAGCTGATTATTAATACACTTGCTTCCTGCATCTGTTCGTTCACGTTCATCCCTTCTACCAGCAAAATTTTTTTTTATCATAGGCACTCTATTGTAATTTCTATCATCCTCTCTCCACTGAAACTCAAAGTCATGAGTATTTCTCTGGGTTTCTTGGAAGCAAAAATCTTTGCTGCAATCGTTTTCATGTCTTCCCAACAACACTGTGTGTAATACTTCTGTGTTACTTTTCCCTTTTGGTGGTAATTTCTTGATCAGGCATTTAGGAGAGAAATCTAAAAGGTATATGGAACCATAGGTTTCAGATTAATTACACATGATAAATAAATGTTTCACATTGATATACATATTATGCAAAAAGTAATACTTAAACAGTTATAAAACTTTCCATCCATGACCTTCCTTTTTTTTTTTTTTTAAGACCGGTAAGGGGATCGCAACCCTTGGCATGGTGTTGCCTGCCCTGCACTCAGCCTGTGAGCGCACCAGCCATCCCTATATAGGATCCGAACCTGCGGCGGGAGCGCCACTGCACTCCCAGTGCCGCACTCTCCCGAGTGCGCCATGGGTCGGCCCTGACCTTCCATTTTTAAGAGCAATATTAAAATAGGTGTGTTTAATAAGAAAAAGGTCATTAAGTATCAAATGAATGCAAGAAAA